TCTAAAAATAAGCTGGTACACATTGATAGAGTTATTGTTGTAATGAATTTTGCGGTGCAAGAAAGAAACTCGTTGCTGTAAACTATACATATATCAGACGATAAATTGTTGTGTAATTAATACTAGAAATGATTATTCGTGTTTTATGAGATATCTATTCTTCCAACGCTCAATGTTCGTAGCTTTGCACCACAATTCATAATCAAGCAAAACTCAAATGTTATCTAGTTTTATATATGTAGAAATCGAACAGTCTTTTACTTTAACTTGCAGTATACTGTTGTGTGAGCATGAACTAATAGATTTCATTTTTTTATGAAATGCTAAGATAATTGTACATTCGAAAGAACAAAAACGACTACTATATAGAATATACGATCATACTCTGATTCTTGTGACTTTATTATATGTTACATATACCTGCTAAGTATTGAAGTGTATATTTAGAAGAAAAAAAAAAGATAGTTGTCGTTTGTTTTATTTCAACGTCGTTAAAAAACACATTGATAACAAGAAAAACACAACAACGATTTAGTTCAATGAAAAATTGTTCTGTTGCTTAGTTTTTTTTTTATAAATGTGTGTGAAAATTATTCCTATGAAACTTGATGTTTTTCCTATTGCTTCATTCTCTCATCTGTTATTATAAAGAACAAAAAAAAGTTTATTGTCCACCAGGACGTAATGATGATAAACCAGCTCGAAGGATTTCATCAACAAGAATTAAATTTGTTGCAATTGATGTACTTGAATGAATCAATTGTTTTTTAACGCGATAATTATCAAATATACCTAATGATTTTGGTTCCATTGCTTCACCTATAACAACAAAACGAATAATTATTCGTTTCATTTACAAAAAAAAAGTAAAAAAAGAAATCTTATCTACCTGTTGTTATATCAATACCAACTGGTATTTTTGATGTTGTATATTCATGTTGAAGTTTAACAATTGTTTCTTGTTGATCATGTCCAGCATTTTGAGCAATAGCCTTGGGAATAATTAATAATGCTTCAGCAAATGCTTGAACACCTAAACGTGCACGACCTTTTACTTGTTCTTTATATTGAGTAAGTGCTTGATGAGCAACAATTTCAAAAGCACCACCACCAGGAATAACACAACCTAAAACAAAAATAAAATGATTTATAATTTGAATCAAAGATTAGTAGAGCAAAAGATGCCAAACAAACCATCTTCAATTGCATTTGTTAATGAACGAAGACCATCACGAAGAGCATCTTTAAGTTGATTTAATATATATTTAGTTGAACCTTTGAGTAAAACTGTTACTGATTTAGGATTTTTACAACCTTCAACGAATGTATATTTTTCTTCGCCCTAAAAAAATAAAGAAACCATTGTTACAAATAAACAAAAAATTTCAAATTTTTTCTTGACGTTTTTTGTCACAACTGAATAGATTTCATCAAGTTACTCATAAAAATGTTGTTTTAGACTATTTTTGCAATGAAACTTAGGCGAATTCTGTTTCAAAAAATTCTATAAGCATATAAAAATTCCAATATACTAAAATCATTAAGTCTCGATAGTGTCAATATTTATCCATTTTTTGTTTTTTAAATTTTAATCATTATATACGTAACAAAAAAGAACATATACTTTTTGAAAAATAATATTGAGTTGTTAAGAAAAGCTATTTTTTCGATATGAGAGCAAAACGCTACAAATAAAATTTCAACCGAACAGTATACTCAATACTCAAAACAAATTTTCGTTAAATTTCGACTACAGGGAAGCACAAGTCAAAGTATTCAAAAATAACAATTACGGTTAGAGATCATCGGATTCAAAATCTTCGAATTTTGTTGAAGTGTACTTTAATACTTTAGATGAAATTTTCTAATGGAAATTTGAGTCTCATCAAACATAAGAGGTACTTTCTTCCGAGTTTTTTATTTGGTAGTTGAATCACTCTATATATTTCTCAGACAATTAGTGCTCACCAGAATCTGAAACCAACTCAGTGGGCTCTAGTAAAGAAGTGTAGAAATCGATACTTGATAGAAATCAGCTTTGAATATTGAAAATACTATTGAATGCAAATTTATGCGAGAATTCTGAATTTGATATTCGTTTCTTTTTGAACCGATGTTACGATGGCTAAAACCTTAGAATACAAATTCGTATTTGTGTCGTTTTTTTAATGACATTAAAAAAATCGATTTTCTTAACAATCAAACAACATGCACTATTTTCCCTTAAGTATATAGCGTGTCATATCAAAAAAAAAAAGGAATACGGATAAATATTGATGCTATTGAGAGTTGATGCTTTTAGTGAAATTTTAATTTATTCAGGTTTCTATGATTTTTTTAGCCTAATTTTTCTAAATTTCACTATAAAAACATCGTCTGAATGTGCCAAAAAACAATATTCTGATGGGTTACTCGACAAGAACTATATAAGAAGGTGGAAAAAAAAATTTTGCTCTTATTTTGAATCGCTGATTTCTTACCAAAACATGTTCGTAAACATCTTCAGCAAAGCCAAGACATTCTTTTGTTAAATTTTCAACGGAACTAGGTAAGAAAATAATAATAAAATTGTCATTTAAAATTGATAATTTTGCTTACTTCATCGCTTCTCCACCACAAGCCAAAGTTAAACGTTCCATATTTCGACGTTTAGCACGTCTTAATGCTAGAATTCCTTCTTTAGCTAACACATCAAGTGATAATGGATCAATGCCTTTTTGATTAATGACAACAAATGTTTTATCTTTATCATCGCCCGAACAAACTTTTCGTTTAAGTTCAACAATTTTTTGTACACGATCATCAATAAATTTACGTTCAGATGCAACAAGACGATCACGTTCTTCAGCATTTTTATAGAAGAAACCAGCATTGACTTCTCTAAAATAAAAACCAACAGATTCCAACAAATTATTTTAATTAAAAAAATTTTTTACGTTTTTTCATATTCAAGTGAAACGTTACACGTTAAAATATAGGCATTCTTAAGTGCTTTAGGCATGGAGGGATGACGACCACCATGATCAAGAACAATACCACGTACAAGACGTGAATCAGCTTCTGTTCGATGTTGCATTTCCATGATTTCAACCATATTTAAATCAGTTGGTTTGCCTGGTTCATTAATAGCTAAGATAGCATCGACAACAATCTATTTATTGTTGTATTTAAAGAAAAAGAAAATCAATTTAATTTAAAAAAAGAAAAGAAATATTAACGAACATCAGTGAGAATATCAGCATTTTCCATTGATAGTTTTGTACGTAATGAAGTACGAGCAATTTGAACTAGTGTTTCACGATTAACTGTTATAGGTATTTTAAGTGTATCAAGTACTTGTAATGCTTCTTTTTTTGCTAATTCAAAACCTTCAGCAACAATACGAGGATGAAGACCCTATTGAAAAATAATTAATTCTATAAACTAAACTTTATGTTTTTCAATAATATTACCTCGGCAATATAAAGATCAGCTTGTTTAAGAAGTTCACCAATAATTAATACAATTGAAGTTGTACCATCACCAGTGATATCATCTTGTGCTGTAGCTGCACGTGCAATTAATGAGGCTGTTGGATGTTGAACTTGCTATAGTAAAAAAAGAAAAGAAACAATATATAATGAATAACCGAAAAATAATCAGACAAAATTGCTTTTCTGGTTTTGAAGATCTGAAATATAGTTCAAAGACTCTATTCTAAACAAATTTCATAGAAAATACTTCGATCTGGAAAACTATCTATTTGATTTTTTTAAAAATAAGTATCTCTTGTTGGTGAATAATGCAAAAGATTTGCAATTACTTAATCAACCGATTACGCAGTAAAATACTGTTAAAATTTTAATAAAAATTCTATTGAAATTGAAATGCTATTGGACGTATGATTCAAGGTAAATAGATGTTAATGACTTGTCCAGGGTTATTCCATGATTGATGATACTGAATTTCATTCACATTAATTTGTGGATACTTGTCGAACAACATAACCATGACGATCAATGCATATAAAATGAAGATGAGTTTTCTTACTCAACTAGATCAAACACAATTCAAAACTATACACATTATTTTGACATTCTTTTTTTATATTAAAATCAATCTTCTGTTCTTATATCTCAGTGTATCGAATAAAGTTCCCATGAGTTTCTTTTCGCAGTCATCATTTTATTTGAATTATTCGGAAGAAGAAAATTACCATCTTACGAAACGACAAGATCAACATTCTTGAAACAGCGGTAGAAGTATCCGTTCATGCTAAATTTCCTTTTAAAGCATTGGACTTGATGAATACAGGGTTACACGAAATCGTAGTTCGAGCATAGAGTAACTATGAGTTTTTTTAAATATTTTGCTCATAAGAAAAAATCGATTTGAAAAACCATAACACTAGATTTATAAATCAAAAAATTTTCTAACTAATGTGCTTACAATAAAGTCTTTGAATTATGAATAGTACCTCATTGTTTATGTTCCATTCATTAAATAAGAAAAAAAAGAGAATACAAACCATTTCATGAAGAAGTATATTGCCATCCTTAGTTATTTTAATATCGCCAGCACCTGATACAAGCCTAAAATATTAACGTATGAAAATAGAAAATTATATAATTGTATTGCATACATTTTCATTGTTCCTTTTGGACCTAAATTTGTTTTAAGCATTTCTGCAAGACCACGAGCTGCTGAAATATTAATAGCTAAAGCTTGTGCTTGACGAGCACTTTCAGCTTTTGGATTTAATGTTGTTATAGCCGACATAATACTATATTCGAATCACTGATATGATATAATCTAAAAAAAAACAATGGATCATTAATGAAAAATTCGAAGTAGAGATCAACAAAATAGGACAAGAAAAAAAAAACACAAAGATGAACAAGTACAAATAAATGTGATTAATGTTTGAGAAAAAAAAACACAAGTTTCTTTTTTCTTTTCTTCATTAACAAATATTTCAATCGACAAAAACACGGTGACTATCTTGACTAGATTAATATATATTATTGTTCATGAGACGATGAAGAAGGAAGTGGTACGGTCTGTATACGTATTTCTGGTGCAACATTTTCGGAATTATCTTCAATGACTGTTAATATTGATGATGGAATTACTGAACGCTAAAATTAAAAAAAAAAATTTGTTTTTTTTTTTAATTTACAAAATTAATCTTAAAATTTTACTTGAGCGATAGACATCGAACGTAAATGACGTATGAGACCATCACGTAATTCCGGTGCTGTTTGAAAAACATGTTTAAGTTGTGGAGGTGGTAATTGTAGAAGTAATGGAAATGAATGTGGTCGAGTTTTTTGACAACATTTTATAAAACCTTCCCATATACGTACTTGTTTCCAAGCCTAAATATGATAGTTATAAATAGATTTATGAAATCGTATAAACTAACTTGTTTTGTTATAAGTCTTTGTAAAATATTCATAACAAAACCAACCATTTTTGGATAGAAACTAAGTGCTTGTAAAACCGTTCGCATAAACAAAACGGGTATTGGATTTACATCAACGAGTTGTTGAATAACAACAGCAAGAACATCATGAGTATAAATTGAACGTTCATTTAAGCATAATGTTGTTGCTATTTAAACAAAATTTTTTACAAAAAAAAAAAACATATTTTTTTTTTTTAAATAATTAAACATTTTTACCATTCATCGTTGTTTTTAATTCACATTCTTCAGATGAAATTTGATGAAGTGCAATTAATAATTCAGATGGTAAAATTGGACTAGCATGTGATGTTTCAGGTGATGCTGAAAAAATATAATTTAAACTATGAATATTCCATTGTGTAAATTTACAGAAGTGAAATTCGAAAAGATTTGGTTATCAATGTTAATTTCAAATGTCATTTGACTTTTGAAATTGAATTTTCCTAATTTTAGATTCATTAAAATATCGCTATGCAACCACCTCTGTATTCAGAACAATGTGTACTTATTTCTAATCTTATGAACGATAGCAACTTGTGTAATGTGAGCAACTTATGTTCTATCGTTGATATGCCTTGTGTTATTATAAATAATCATGAAACACATAGAAAAACGAAGCTGTGGATACTTAAAAGAATAAAAAAAGCAATTTTAGACGAAAACAGCGACAATACTTGATGTACGATCTTGTCGTTTGTTTTTTTGTTAATAGCTAGTAACATCAGATCATTTCAACATGAGTTGCTTCACATCTGATTAAAATAGTTGACTAAATTAATTGTTGAAAAGAAGAAAAATATTATCTTGTACAATCAATAAACGATTGTGATTGAATACTTATAGATTACAAAAAAGAAACGAAAAACTTTCTGCTAATGAGTACTTTTGCAACGTGAACATTTTTGGTCAGTCTCGATGTTGGCCATATTCGAAAGGTTTTTATGTATGTATGAACAAGTTTGAGAGATGCATAAACAAATCTTTGTTTTCTTAGACTTTAAAAAAAATTCATGCTTGAAATTATAAATGAAAACTCTATCGATGATTAAACAATTTCTCAATAGAATATTTTAATATCTTTTGAACTATTATAGTTTATTTCTATTATTTTATAATCTCTGGCATGGCAATAGAACGTGATTATAGATACAATGAAAGTCAATAATCTCATTGCATTAAAGTATCAATAAACAACACTCTTAGACAATGTGTATGATGGGCAACTCAACACGGGATTTCAGATATCGTCATGAAAATCCTTCTTTTGAGTAATTTAGACTCATTTCATATATATATATACAACTTATCAGTTATGTGCTGAAGTTTCTAATGATATATCTAACAATTCAATGAAATATCATATGTGCAAAATTAATCAATCGTTTCACTTACCATTAAGACCCAAAAGTCGATTAAAAACTTCTTTAACAACTGGTGGTGAAAGTTTAATTAATTTTGGTAATGCACTAATAATTTCTCTCTAAAAAAAAAAATTCCATTTTATGTTTAATAACAAAATTTAAAAAAAGAAACGAACCTTTTCCAAACCAGTAAGTACGGGTATAAGAAAACGAACATCAGAAACTCGTTTATGATACAAATCTCGAACTTTTTCAACGAGATCACGTGACGGTGGAGCTATGAAATAAAAATAATTTTATAGAAGAATAAAATAACAAGAGAACAATAAACATACTTTGTTCAGTAAGAATATGAATAATACGAGTAATCAATGTTTCAGCACCTTTAGGACAATTTTCAACTAATTTTAATATTTCTGGACTACCCATACCCATTCCACGAACCTTAATTATTTATTTATTAAAATAAATGAAATATAACATATATTAACTTACAGGAATTTCTAACACTCGAAGAATTACTCGTTTAATATCACCATTAACTGCGGTATAGATCGTTGCTAATCTATAACAAAAAATATAAAAATAAATTAAAGAAGAAGACAGTTAGAGTAATCTCTCAAAGATTATTATGTGAAACATGATGTAGTTGCTCCTGCTAATCATAACGAGATTGTTCTATTCTATCTATTTGAGGACGATACAATGTTCTATTCGATTTTAATCAGAATTTAAAGAAAAAAAGCGACACTTGATTTCAAATAGAAAGTGGAATTTTTTTCGAATTATCTGTTATCATATATACCTACAAATCTTCCATTTTTCGATGGTAGATCTCTCTCTATATATATATACAGTAACAAATAATTCTGAAAACCCATGAGACTCACCGTCTATATAATAGAAAAAATGATGAATCTGCAGATGTATGTATAGGAATGATTTATTCAAAATACTTATGAAATAAATAAATAAGCATATTGTCGGACTTCAGTGAGTGAAATGTGTAATATCTTTGATGCATAGAAAGATTCCTTTTCTCGTGCTGTGTCAATAAATAGACTTCTTTGACTAGATCTGCTGAACTCTCATCGTTAGCAAAACGTGAGTGTCATTGTTTCAAAAAATTTTCTTTTACATGAAGAGCTCTAGAAATACAATAAGGAGGTAGTTCATATATTATAGCGAGACATTGATATATATGATCTTTGATTGTATATCAACGATGCCTGTCATGGTCTGTGACACTGGATGAGGAAGTATTGCAAAGTGTAGCTCAGACGTATTAATGTTCTGAGATGGTGTCGAAAATGACTCAACTGTGTAAGTTTCAACAGACTTAGAAAATCTTCTCTCATTTCGATGCAATATATCGCGATATAGCACTTTCAAAAAAAACCGACGGTGGCTATCACATGGGAAGGTCCGTAACGAAGAGAGAGGGACGTTGCTAAGATATCTGTTATAGTCTGAAAAGAGGAGGACCACAAAAGTACGTGCAAATTGCCATTCTATATACTTCGGTACTGTTTTTAAATCGTGTTTCACAACAGTAATAATATGAAAAACTTACGGTTGAATTAAATAATGATTAGATGGCATTAAACTAAGATAAAGTGGAAGACAAAGACGAATTGAATCTTCTGTCCATGTATCATTCGGTACTAGAAATAAAGTATTTCATTTTAGATTCTTCATTGAATAAAAAAAAATTTATATTTCTTACTTGTTGATGATTTTTTATCATCCCCAAAAAGTGCTTCAGGTGGTTGTGAAGCTGTTAGATGTTTTAAAAATTTTAAAGCATGTCGCTAAACAAAAATAAAAATAATTATAATGAGTTTAGTTATTTTTATTAAATTTTACTTCAATTGATTGTTTAAATTCTTCTTTTTCATGTAAACTTTTTGCAATACGTATTGCATTATTTCTTACTGATACATTTTCATTATGAGTAAAATCAAGTAAAATATCCAAAAACTTTTCACGCATATTTATTCGACGAAATATCAAATCACGTAATGTATTCATACCCAGATAAGAACGAGTCTAAGAAAGATGAAAGAACAACAAAATTTCTTTTTCTTTTAATTTGATGACAATAAAAAAAAAAAACAAAAAACGAATAATTTACTTCGTCTTGACAATATCTTTTTAACACAAGTAATGCATTATCTGTAATCAATGGTGCAGTTGATAATAAACGAGAAAACAAACTATGAGAAGAAAAGAAATTAAATTAATAAATAATTATTATTAAAATAATTTTAATTTACCCATCACGTTGATCTGGTTTTTCTTGTAAATATTCAAGTAATCGACATAATGTATCATCATATTTTGTAAAATCTTTTCTTTTATTTGGATCTAATATACTTAAATATCCGTTAGCATAAACAAATTCTTGATAAAGCCATGCAAAAGCAAGATCATGACGTTTACGTACATCAGCAAATATATAATCTTCATAAACTTAAAAAGAAAAATCAGATAAAATCTTTCAACCTACAGTATCATGTGTAAAACTTGATAACAGTTTATGAATGATGTTAAAATAGTCTGAAGAAATTATTGAATAATTTCAATATAAAACATTATTGTTACGTATTCGGAAAATTAAGAGTGTAGATGTTGAATAATTGGAAACCAATAGCTAACTAGAGAACTACTCCAACGGTAAACTACCATTTGAGCTCGCATTGGTCTTACAGGAAGATCTCGATAATATTAGAAAAAGTCTAAAAGACTTCGTTTTCAAGAGGCTATCGGATCGAAGTATAAATTCTATTTTGTGACTTGTTTGTGGCAAATAACATATTTTTTAGAAATTTAATAGCTTGACAAAAGAACATTCTTTTTATCTGAAACTTTCTTTATATTTTGAAGATCATAAGATACATCTATAAGCGAAATTTCGGATGAAAATTTTTTTATATTATTTTTTTAGTAAATTTTCAAAGATGATACGTCGAAGAATTAGTAAGACAACTATAAATCGGCTTCCAAAGCCTATGCGAACCAATTCTTTTTGACTTTTTCTAGTCTTATCGAGATCTTCTCGAGTTACTCAATATGAGTTTAAACGGCTGGTCACTGTTAGGATTGTTCACTCATAAGTAGAACACTATGGGCAATTTTAGTAAACAATTACACAAACATATTTGTTCTGTTAAAGAATGCAGATGACTATTCAGAAATTTGACAAATAAGTTAAAAACATCATCATACGAACTATATAAATGACTCATTGTGAAAAGAATACTATACTTTCTATAGAAATGACGTATTTCTAGGTATGCACAGAATCCAAACGTTTGGATTGAGTCCTGGCTGAAGTCACTCTCAGTTAATAATAAACAAAAAATGGATGTAAACTAAAAAAATGAACTTTATAATTGACTATGGCAGATCTACACACTGTACAATGAATGATTCAAAAAAAGAAACATGATAGTTATAAGCACTGTAAAAAAAATGAAAATATCCAAGTTTTTTATTGCGTTTTTGATTGCTTATATAACTCAAGAAACACTTTGACAACTAACTAAATACTGGATATAGTTTGAATTGGTTGTGGAGTTCACAAATTTGAACTGTTCCTCTCTAGCATTCAATCAAAGCTGATATTCGATGCATACTGGCATATGTCTAAGCTTCTTTTTACAAAAGATAAGATCATCGTTCATTTACGATTTGCTAAATATGTAAACTCGTAATTATACGAAGAACATCTTGTAGTCAATTTAAACTATATCCGATATTTATGGAACATACATTGCTACTCTTTATATAACAAATGTTAATATTATAGAAAAATCAACAATTTTCTCTTTTAATAGATAATGGTTAATTTTTATGAAACTTACTATCACGAAAACTTCGTTCAGATAAACAAACTAATGAAGTCATTGTTTTTTTTCTAACATGACCAACACCGGCTGTTTCACAAACATCTAAATATAAACTATAATAAAATAACTATATTTCAATCAATTATTTCAAACCTTCAGCATGAAGAATTCGATAAAATGAATCTGTTGACATACGTTGCATTTCATCATATTCAATCGGTTTTATAGCATCGGCTAATTTAAATGGTTTCATTTTTTTCTGTTGTACACTTGGTATTGTTGATATGGTTGTTATTCCTGCAGATGTTGTTGGAATTTCACTTGATTCATTTCCACTGGTAGAAGGTAATGCTGATTTACTATCAATATCCATTGACGAAGAAGGAAAGGAATCATCACGTCCAACACCCGTAATACTTGCTATAGAATTTCCTTCTTCAATATCATCTTCAATTTTTGGTTTAACTTGCTAAAAAAAAGAAGTAATAAAAATTTTCATAATAATAATATTAACAATATTTTTTGTTTTTTGTGAAACAAGATCTACAAGGAGTTTTGAAGTGTAGGGCACAGTAAGTAATAACGTGAACATTAGATGATAAAAAATGAAAGTGAACTTTTTCGATCTTTGAACAGTATTTTATACATTTTGATCAACTTTAAAGAAAAACAACTTTTTTTTCTGTAAAAAATAAAGAGTTGGACAATAAGTCATATATAGTCTGAAACTGGGACTTCTGCTCTATTGATTTATAAGTTTTTGTTGTAAAAGAAAATTATTATACTTTTCCCACTAAGTGTTTTCCCAAAAAAAAAATGCCTTCATGAAGGTCGACCGCTACTGTTTTTCCACTAATTCGATATCGATTAAACTTTTAGAGAATGTTCTTCTATATCTAGAACATAAACTCAGTTAGCGCAAAGATGCACAAACACTTTTCGGCTGAGATAAAGTTTTCTAAAAGTTTTTCACGATTTTTTTTTGTCACAGAAATACTTTGAGAGAAAAAATGAAAACATATTTGTAATAATCATAAAAGATCACATCGAACGATGTACCATTCGCCAATGTTTAAAATGAAAAGTTTTTTCACAAAACTTCGAGACAAGAATCTTCTTCATTAGAGATTTTCTATCGCAAATGTTCGGTTTTTCATCAATCTTATTTTTTGGTAGAAGAAGTCAATATTTCTATGAAAAAGAATTGTTTTTAACAGAAAATAAGTCATGTTGACGCACTCGCTAGAAATTGTCCACTTTATATGAGGAAAAATTTGGACTCAATTTCCTACAGACTGTGATAGATATCTTAGCAACAGACCCCTTATGCGTCATAGGCATTATTGATATATGATCAAAGACTTTATATCAATAATATCTCGTAAAAATATTTGAACTACTTCTTTATTGCACTTCTGGAAAATTAAGTATTAGAGAATGATGAAGAAGTGTGTCTTAAAATAGATTAGAATAAAGTAATCTTGTTGTGATTAGTAGCAGTAATTACATCATGTTTCATATTTTAATCTCATAGAGTTTGAGCTAACAGCTGTTTATTTCTTACTTGTTGAGATTTCATAAGTTCATAACCTTTTCCATGACCAGCTGCTGTTAATTGTGCGCCAAGTAATCGTGCTAAATGTTCAATTTGTGCTGGTGTACCAGCAGCTGCTATCGGTGTATATGTTGCTTGAAATGATGCTGGCATTTTTTCTGGTAATAAAAGCATTGATACAAGAACTAAATCAACAACATTTCCAATAGATAATTTTCCAACAAGATCAGCAGCTGTTATATCTATTGCTGTTTGATGTTGTGGATGAGATGAGGATGAATTTGTTGATGTCGAAGACATCATTGAACCATGTACACCACCTGTAGATATACCTTTTCCAGTTATACTACTATTTGAATCATCTTTATCAAAAATACTTGGATCATCCTATAGAAATCAGAAGATTGATATTAAGATAGAAAAAGTACTTGTTTTTACAACATACAGTAGTCATTTTAGATTTTTTAGTATTTATTTCGCTATTACTTAATGTTATTTTACGTTTTGATTCTGTTGGAACTTTAGGTAAATGTTTAAGAACCTAAGACAAATGAATTTTTTATTAAAATAAAAAGATTAACAAAAGAAAAAGAAAATACTTCAGCTTGTGTAGCACCAAGATCAGTTAATAATGTTGTAATTTGTGGTTGAAAATCGAATGAAGCAGGATGTTTAAGAAGACTTAATAATTTTAATTTAATTATTTTACGTACACTACTAACTTGTGAATCGACTAATGTTGGTGGTAAATTAACTATAAATATATGAATTTAAAATTAAATAAATTGAAACATATCACTATTTTTTTTTTACCTTGTAATGCTTCAAATGTTTGTACAACACGACTCATATAATCTGGTCTTTGCCGTGCAATATTTGCTATTGCACCCATTGCTGCTATTAGATTAACACTAAAGTAATAAAAATTTATTATTTAAAAAAAAAAAATCAAAATTAATACCTAGATAAATGTTGAGAAAGAGTAAATTCAAGTAATTTTTCCATAACATCTTTTCCTTCTTGTTCAAGTTTATTTCGACGTAATATACGATGATCATCTTGTAATAAATTAAGTGAAAAATCTTGTTCATTTGAAGCTGGAACAATTGAATCCTATACATAACAAAAAAAACAACAACAACAACAACAATAATAATATATCAATATTAACTATTTATTTTTACTTGTGTACGTCGTGATAAAACAAGTGCAAGCATTTCAATAAATTTAATAGCCACTGTACGAAGTCTAAAATATTCAAATTTAAAAATCAATTATTTATGTTTTTTATGAATTAATTTACCCATCATTATCTGAATCGAGCATAGCAATAATATGAATTTTCATATTGACCATACTTTCCCACATACTTCGTACATTTTCATCGACAAGTCGAGATTTCGAAAGCCACTAAACAAAAATAGATATGTTGATTATAGTTTAGTCATTGATAGAATATTATAAAGAGATTTGATTAATAAAATCAGCTATAGATAATTAATATTCTTCAAAGAGAATCTAAAACTTGAATCATAGTATCCTAGTTTGTCAATGCTTTTAGCAAGATTAGTTAATAAGATGTCATTAAATTTATTTAAATTGACGAAAAATGTAGATGAAGAAAACAATAATAGAGAAGATGATCGAGGATCAGCTATTTTTAATGTATAATTCATGATTGATTTCTCTTTGTCAGATCATTCCATCATTTACAGTCGTTTCTTGAGAAAGTAAACTCTATCGTTTACTATAACTGCGACGATGAAAATAGACTGATTTTATAAGAATTTATAGTAAATGAAACAATTCTAAATGGATAGTTTACCAACAACTTTCTTTTTCCATGTTTTCCATCACATCTAATTCAATTATTTATATATAGTGACTTCCAAAGTGATTCGACTATGTTTATTTTCGACTTTTTTTTTCACTGCTATAAACGCTAAGAAGAATCCAAAAATGGTATTTTGTAGTGATTTTTCTTTCTAGTTCCGCAAACACAATTCTATGTGAACTACTAAAAATAACAGACCATACATTTCTCTATGACATTTTTATACAAACAAAACAATTTTAATGGCTTCTGTAAGATTGAGGCATCTTAGTCAAAACCGTGATAGAGAGCTAGAAGACGTTTCAGTTTGCAGAGAATCATTTGCTCTACCATACTGAGCAATTCCATCAGAATTCTAATAATAAAATCTGAGTAACTAAAAAAATTGGCTTTATTAGCAATCCTACTCTCAGAAGACTAGTCATGATTCATACTGTCGAAAATTCTGATTGAAAATAAAATTCTCTACTAAAATCATTATTTGGACTTTTCTTAGCGTTTACGACAGCGGAAAAATATTGAAAATAAATCTGATCAAGTAATTTTTGAGAGTCAGTCTATGTTCCCATGACATAATTGGCTTTCATTTGATATACTTTAGAGGTTCTAATATTTTCTTGACCAATCAATAAAGCATCTCATCTAAGACCGAATAATGTTATCTTCTTCTTTATGAGTGTAACCTGCAAAGTTTCATTCAAACTCTAATCTTGATTATTTTAATCTAGTCTGCCGAATGGTGCTCACATCAAATATCGTTATCTTCTACTTGTCATTACTAAATAGTTTCATCTGCAGTTTAATGAAACCTTTACATTCGATCATACAATAAACAGTGTCAAGATGTCAGTACGCTATCCTTGAACCCTTCAATAATATTTGTGCAAAGCACTATGCTGAATATATTTAGAAATATTCATAGATGATGCTCCTTGCTAATTCATTGTACTAAGCCGATAGGAAAAATACAAATATCCAAGATGAAAATACGACTAACTCATATCAGTTAGTTATTAGATCAATTTACTCAAATTAAGATTCATTATAATTGAAACTAAAATTCTCACCTTTAAAGTTAATCTATAAATTGTTATCATACTAACAATAAGTCTTTTTTGAACAAGTACATTATCATCATAAAGTAAAAGTCGTAAACTATCAATCACTTTAACAATAACCTCTGGATCATGTTGACTAGAAAAATAAATCAATAAATACTAAATGATAAAATATTTTATAACTAACCAAGCTTCTTCAATAAATGATATAATAGTTTTTCTCACTTCTGGACTTTTATCAGTTTGAAAACCCAGTACTTCCTAAATACATAAAGTTAAATATGTATACTTTTGTTTTTTTTTTTTTTTTGAATACAATAAATATACTTCAAGAAAATTATCAAGTAAACTTGGATCTTTTCTTAAAATAAGTTCTTGTACATGTCGAAGATGTTGCACTCTAACACTATCTTTTCCATAGAGTGATGCTTGATTAATTAATTCCACAATCTTAATACAAATATCTTAGATAAAAAAAAAAAAAGATCTATTCGGCATTCTTTTATTTACCGTTTCCTGTATATTTTCTGACATTTTTTTTTTCTATATCTAAAACAAAAAATAATATACTTTTCTGAACAAAAATTATTTTTTTCCCATAAAACATCTATGAAAATTAAAACATAAATTATGTTTAACAAAATTGTACCAAAATTTTTTCACTAGATATTAAATCAACTGTAGTAGAATTTGGAAAAAAGAAAAACATCATCATCCTAACGATATTTTTACAGGAAAGTCATTTGATATTATTGATAATGATGAATTATTTCAATGAAAAATTCTCTTTGAGAATAGTTTGCGTATGAATTTTTTGTTCTTTTTAAACGTTTTTGTTATTCAAATAGAATTATTCTAACTGCACATTCTCCTTTCATACAAACTGATTCAGTTAATAAATTCAGTTGTACTATTCTCATTGTCTTTTTCATTTGAATGAAACTTTAGTTTGACTAGAAAATTTAGAAGCGAATTCGTTATTGTTTTTCTTTTAGTATAAACAAAACAAAAATTTCGCCATCATAATTTAGACAATGTGAAAATTCCTCTTAAACACTGCTTTATAAAAGTGTGAAAGCCAGACGAACAATACTCTTCCGAATATTAGGTTGGCTCTCATAGTATTTGTGGTTATTATATCACGTGTTATGTGTCTATATTTCCAAGCATAGATGCTCACACTTCTCGTACCTTAAATCAACTCTCTGAAAGAGAAAACCTGAATAAAATACTATTTTTAATTTAAGATAATAATCATCATTAGTGATTATTTTATTGTTCGATTTCAAACGATGTTTGAACAATATCAAAGATACATAAGTATAAATACAATTTGTATTGTCATTTATATGTACTTCTAGACGTATAATGACACGCTCTCAACACACTTTCATACCAACACTAACACAATTATATCCATTATTCACCAATAGATAGAATTCGTAATATGTACTGTAACTCTATTAGACAGATTTTTATCTGATATTTATTAAAGTTAACTTTCTTACCACGATTCATGTATCATCAAAACAAAATGTAGGTCAGTCTATACTTTCAATAATCAACCTTAGATCACATAGGAGACTTATGCGAAATACATTTTATGTCACATGTCCGTTCTTCATCTTATCCTAAAACATAATTGATTTTTTCTTTGTTTAAGCCATACTGTTATGAATGGTTCTAAAGTGACAAGAAAAAACCCCAAGACTAATTTATAGATCAACAAAATCATTTAGATATACTTCTTGAAATAGTTAAAATGGTAGACAAAAATCAATAATCAAAGTCAAAATATACAGAAACACGACATAAAATGAAATTAAAATGTGAGAATGTCGACTGCACTTATATGTTGACCTATCACATTGAAAAATTGTACATATAATTTATAGCATGTGATCGGAATTCTCGATTCTAACTTCGAAAAATAACATATTTAGTTGTGTCCGTATCTGTATGACTTTGTTGTGTGATACTACATATAAATGATAATACAATTTGTATTTGTACTTATATAACTTTGATATTGTCTAAATTTCATTGAAAATTCGAAAAATAAAATATCCAGCAATCATGATTAGCGTTATAATTTGCAAAGAATTTCAATATTAACCAAAATTCAGTAGCGAAATTTCAGACATTCTAAAGCATAAGCAACATCAATATTTGTTTCAATAACATTTGATTGATTATTGAATATAATTCATTTAGTATCAGATGAAAGTTGTTGTAATGATTGTTTATCATGAATATTTCTATGTTGTATTGGATTGCATATCTGTTGTTGAATATTACTGTGACATTCTATTAAGATTTTATTTCACTTCGGACGGTATTACCAACTAGAAAAGAAAATTATGTTTTTTGTTTCAAATGATTATAGAAAAACCTTACGAACTAGCTGAGATATATTGCTAGTGGTGTAATAAGTTTACATAAATAGAAAACGACTAGGATATCGTTCAATTGATTGTCTGGGTCATAGATGTTGTGTCAATAGACGGGAAATAAATTTTGAACTTGTCGATGTCCATAATAAAACATATGTGCGAGTTAAAGTAAATGAAAAGTATCAAGTATTACTTAATATTTTTATTGATTGGGAAGAACTCCAAACAAAGTATCATTTCAATGTATGAAAGTACTTTATTTTTTTTTTTAGTTGAAGCTAAGTTACACACACACATACACCATTGTTTGAGATTCAACGTATCCAATCGGATAACAACCCTTTAATATTTATCAATTTCATAATATATTTTACTCATCAAATTACTTCATATTTAATTAAACAAGATAAATTTATTTTTTATAGTAGAAAAAAAGTTTCCCTGACTAAAAATTTCAACGTTAGAGGTCACTGTATGCAATATTAAAAATGAATGGTTTGATTTGATTCATTTTCATCCTGGAAAAATCCACCTATTGACTTGTATGAAAAAAGTTTTGAAATATTTATAAACTGTACATATAGTCCATACTCTTCCATCATCCCATTTTTGTGTCAGTCATACGAATTAATGCGAGTACCATGTTCAAAGTGACCTAATATCTGTATTTTAGAATGGCACGATCATCAGCAATGTCGAATCAATTCACAATGCCTACAATTTTCTTTCACCATAAAACCTTTGGACAAAATATTCGATTAGATAATAATGCATCAAGAGCAATGCGACATACATCATTCGACAATGGTTATTTCTTTATTTATTTTTTTGTCTAATTTTAATGATTATACTTTTATTGCCAGGTATTACATTTACAAATAAACAAATACAAATGAATGAACATATACATATGCAAATTGTTGATATTGATGAAAGTGGTCAATGGTTAGGATCATTAGCAATTGGTAAAACAAATGACATAATTGAATTTTTTTGAAATTTAAATATTATTATTTTAGGTTTTATTCAAATGGATCCAGGTTCAATTCAAAGACACGAATTATGTAAATCTGCAATACCAAATATTTGCCAAAAGACTGGAATATCTTATGTTAAACGTATTTTTGAAAGATTAACAAGACAAACTGTGATAACATTTTACTATAATCAAGAGTTAGTCTTTTATTAATAATCGTAGTCGAATATTTATTTTCTTCTTTAGCGGAGCTTTTTATATATTGGATGGAAAAGAGCAAGAAATTTGCAAGAATGTTAATGTACAAGGACCTATGTGGGGTATTATTGATCTTTACGGAAATGTTAAAGGTATGTAACTGAATATTTTTGTACTTAGCAACGTATGACGAAATTTTTTGAAAATAAGCTAAGTTGTACTAATTTAAGTTTGAAAAATAATAGGATATGAATAGGATGATGTCTAAATCAAAACATGTTTTTGATTGGAAGCGAAATGAAATAAATGATTAACACTTGATTATATTTAAGTAAGCAGCTAATAAAATTGTCTTTTGATAGGGATGAAAAAGGCTCTTAAACAATAGTACAACATTTTACAGTTATGTCGACATGTATTTTACGACCTTCGCTGACTAAATGTTGACTAAAGTCACAGGCAAAGACTAAAATTTATTGATACATCCACTTGCAGAGCGAAAGCTGATCTACGACATGTACTATGAGAGTTTTTCTATAGATTTTTCAACTTTCGTTTCTGTTAAATCGTCACTTTTGAAACATCAACTTTTTGTCCAATGAATATTTTGTATAGAAAGGAGCTCTGTGCAACGTGTCAATAGTTTCACTTAAGTGAAAGTCCCATCTTAATTCAATATAACATTTTGTAAACAAGTGTTCGCTTGAGAAAACGCTTGAAACGAATATTTTTTGGCAGATTTGAAAAGGAACTTATAAGAATTGAGAAACGCCAATTGATTTAACAGTCAATCTAATTTTTTGGACTTTTAAAAATTTCCTTGACTATTCATAGATTTTGACTTGTCTGTGATACTTTCAAGTAAATCAAAATAAGCAACTATTTACATCATAGATTTTTCGTTCCAACTCATTTTTTTATGTCTTTCAAATGTTATCTTACTACTCTCGAATACAAATCTGAAATAACGTCTCTTAGATTGTATTCAACAAGTGCACAATATGTTAGTTCTAATCCATAGCTTTTAACTCTTTGAAAACACTTGCAAGCGAGCCAAGAATAAACAAATATTTTATCATAAAACTTTCTGCCAAACTACTACTGAGAATGTCTTGTTATAATATATGAACTACTTCGTTATCACTTTTATGGAAGATTAAGTAAAATGATAACAAAGAAATATGTACCCATATAGAATGAATAAAACAATTTCTCTGCGATTAGAAGTAACAGTTACACCATGTTTCATATTTTGGTATTGAAGAGATTACGCTAATAGCTTTTTTTTTTCAAAACTCACAAGCACTCTACAAACTATTTTAGTTCGATAATCATGTGTTCCTTATACTACTGAAAGAATATGTCAAAGTTTTTAATCTGTTTATTAGTCATTATTAGACAAAAATAACAAGAGTCAAACAGAAAAATGCAAAGCATTTTTAAAACAACTTCTTCGATTCATAATTTTAAAAGCCTAGTAATCTTAATTGGTACGCGAACAGAATAATATTTAAAAGCATTCAAAGCTTTAAAAAAGATTAGGGAAACGATTATCGATGTCCGACATTTTTTTTTATGAACCATAGATTTCAAATTTCGAACGCATAATTTTTTATGCAACTAAAATTCGTAACAAAAATTCTTTGTCTCGGTTGTTATTCTCAATTATTCATCATTTGTAAGACCACTCTAAATAGAAGATTTTCGAGACACTAGACTGATGATATCAACATTATCTTTTTTTATCAAAAATTATATTATCATTTAGGTGCTGTTTTGATTACCCCACCAAAAACAGTTGTCGATAGTAGAACATTTTTTATCAAATATGATCAAAAACCAGATAAACTACCAATTCAGTATTTTACTCAATTAAAACCTACGAATTTGCAATCGATTATTTTTTATAATATTCATGGACCAGAACTTGATTTATATTGTCAAAATAAAGTTGTTTTTCGAAAAAG